GGGCTTGCACTTCAAAGATGTAGCTATTTACTTCTCTCAAAAGGAATGGGAATGCTTACACTCTGTTCAGAAGGCTTTGTACCGAGGTGTAATGCTGGAGAATTACCAAAACCTGACCTCATTGAGTAAGTTTACCCCTCAAAATTCAGAACTAACCTTCTGAAATATGTTCATTCTTGTTAATTTTTCTTCAGTAATTTTCAAATGCCTATCTGAATTAATGATTCTTGCTCACCAAAGAATGGTTTGTTTCTTGAGAAGTTAGAAACGGGCTTTTCCTTGGGTATCTTTGTCTTCCCCGTTCCTCTGTTCTCCGCCCCTCCTTCTGACCCTAACTCCATTTGCTTCTCTCTCTGTAATTGCATTAGTCAGCTTTCCTGTTGCTGGGATAAACTACTCAACACCCACAAGTTAAAGGAGAAAGGGTTAAGTTGGCTCAGAGTTTCAAGTGATTCAGTCCATTGTATGCGGCTCCAGGGAAGAGACATGGCAGAGAGGAATGGCAGAGCAAAACTTCTCAGTTCATGGCACACGGCAAGCAGAGCAGTAGCAACAGAGAGAAAGGAGCCAGGGATGTATGTACTACCCAAGGTCTCGCCTCCATGACCCACCCAGACACACCCAGAAATGTTTTACTAATATTCCAGGTATTTCTTAATTATGTCAAGTTGCTATATCATAATTAGCAGGCACAATAATCCTGACTGATTTTCATTCTGAGGCCCATAACATATACCTTTTTCCTCCCCCCACCAACAGGACTTTTTGATACTAAGCCAAGTGAGATCTCCTTATTGGAGCAGGGAAAAGAGCCCTGGATGGTTTCTAGGAAGGAGATAAAAGAATGTTATTCAGGTGAGTGATGATGAATCCTTGGGGAGACCACAGCAGGCTGTCACACCCAGCCAGCATGTGAGAAGGCAACACTTCTGAGATGCTGGTAGCAAAGCTCCCCAGCAACGAAAGGGCTGAGGTCTGGGGAAGAAAGTAAGTACGTTTCAGCCAGCACAAGGCTCCAAATTATTACTCCGCTTACCACTGTCCTGCTACTCTTGTGTCATATTTCCCTACCAAAGGCCTTCCTCCTTTCTCTGTGATTAGCATTCTGTCTTCACTTTGGGACCAGTTTTCTCCTTTTTAAAATAACTATTGAGATACAGTTTTCATGTCATAAAATTCATCCATTAAAAGTGTACAATTGGTTTTTACTATATTGTAAGCAAAATATTTTTCATCACCTCAAAATAAAACGCCATACCCACTAGCATTCACTTCCCATACTCATCCCTAAGAAACCACTTAATATACTTTCTGTCTGTACAGGTGTGCTTATTTGAGACATTTTATATTAGTGACATCACATAGTACACAATTCGTGACTGGCTTTTTTTACTTAGAAGAATATTTTCAGTGTTCATGCATACTGTAGCATGAGTAACCAATACTTTATGCTTTTATGCTGTCAAATAGTATTTCCTGGTATGAATATATCATACTGTTTATTCATTCATCAATTGGTAGACATTTGGATTGTTTGTGTTTCAGGCTACTATGACTAATGATGCTATCAGCATTTATATACAAGTTCCCTTTCTTAGTTTGTTGAATGTTTTTGTGATGAAAGATTTTAATACTTTTGTAATTTTGTGATTTCTCTACATCTACTAAGATATCCTGTAGGTTTTGTTCTTTGTTCTGTTAATATGGTAACAGTTTGGATGTTAAACCAACTTTGCTTTTCTGGGACAAATACCTTCTGGTTGTAGCACATAATCCTTTCTCTATCCTGCTGGATTGGTTTGTTTTTATATTTGGGGGACTTTTGCCACTGTATTGGTCTGTAGCAGTGATGGCGAACCTGTGGCACACATGCCACAGAGGGCTGTTTGTATCATTGAAAGCTCACTGCTCTATAGTTTTCTCATGATAACCTTTGTTTGGGTTGGTATCAAGATAACACTAGCCTCAGAATTAGTTCAAAAATGTTCCTCCTTTTTCTGTTTTTTTGGAAATTTTTAGGAATTTGATAGAATTCAGCATGAGATCACTTGGCCTGGGCTTTTCTTTCTGAGAAGATATCTTACTACTATTGTAGTCTGTTTGTTACAGATCTATTCATATGCTCTACTTCTTGAATTGGTTTTGGTAGTGTTGTGTCTTTTTAGGTATTTGTCCATTTATCTAATTGTCTAGTATAGTTGTTCATAGTAGTCTCTTATAACTCATTTTATTTCTGTAAGGTCAATAATGATATCTCTTCTTTGTTCCTGATTTTAGTATTTTGAGTTTTCTTTTTTCCTTTGGTCAGTCTGACTAACTTCATTGATTTTTTTTCAGAGACCAAAGAATGAGTGCATTGATTTTCTAAATTCTTATTTAGTTCATCTCTGTTTTGATAATTAGTATTTCTGTCCTCCTGGTAGCTTTGAGGTTTTGCACTTCTACCTACAGTATCTTTCCTGGGTGATACATAACTTTAAGTTTGGCAAATAGTAATATAGAAAAACTCTACATTTTCCAGACAGGCTTGTGGTTAGGTCTGACTGTGCCTGCTGCTTGGAAGGTGACCACTTATGTGCCGTCCATCATCATGACAGAGATATCGAGCCTTAGATACTGAGTAAAGCTGACTCCTCACACCCCTGACCTCTCTATTTACAAACTGGTGCATGAAAATACAATGAAATTTCTGGTCAAAAGCATTGGTAATCTGAGTGTTTCTAATATATGACTGAGTCAGTGTATCTCAAGTCCTAATGCTTCTTGTTGACATTCAGTCCATCAAGCCCATGTTCTCTTCAGAGCCTTTGCCTCTGGTATTCTCTCCAGCTTACGCTGTAAATTTCCCTTTAATCTAATGGTTATGTTATTTAATACTAATTGAAACAATGCCCTGAGGCCCAGATATATCATGGTGAATGAAATAAGTGATGTATATGCTAATTATAGGTCACTTTGGTTGAGATTAAATAAACTGAAGGGCAAGTATGTAGTTCAAGGAAAAAAAAAAAGATTATGAGGGCAAAGAACAGGGAGCCTGACAGAAAATTAGAATATTTAGAAAAAGAAGAGCCTCATGAGAGACGAACATTGTGTGCACAGATTTAAAGTGAGAAAGTGTTCTGATACAGTATATCAGTGTAGTGAGCAAATGGTTAAGCGAAGTGGAGCAACAGACTTTAGCAAGTCTGTTGAGATATCTGGGGTTTTATTCTAAATGCAGGGAGAGTGCACTTTATTAAAGTTGATCTTCACCTTGAATTGACTCACAGTCATTGAGGGAAAGTAGGAAAAAAAATCAGTGGCTGTCCATCAAACAAATACTTAGTATTCATACAGACACAGTGAGGGTGAGAATATAAAAGCAAACAAGTTAAAGTGTATCACAGTCTGTTGAACTTAGAAGTGAAGTACAAGTGGTGTCTACAAGATGGATTGGTACATGGAAAAAGGGATGGATAAATACAAAATAAGGCAAATAAAGCCAAATGTTAATTTTTAAAATCTCCATAGTGGCAATATGCAAGTTCACTGTCCAATTCTTACCTTTTCCTGTATGTTTGAAATTGTCCGTAATATTGGAAAATAGATAAAATGACTTGTGCTGATAAGTTCTCTGCAGAAACATAGGGTAAGTGGAATGAAGAGGGGTTCAGTCCTGCATAGGGTGATCTAGTAAACTTGACTGTGAATAGAGGTCAGGTAAAGTAACTGAATCTGCCATAGTGATATTTTAGGGGAGAGATCCTGAAGGAGAGGTGTGCTTGGCAAGCTCGAAAACAGCTGATCAGTTAGGGAGCCGGAGCAGAAGTTGGTTAAATGGAGATGATAGCTAATAAGAGCAGGAAGAGATAGTGTAAGACAGGTTTGGGGAAGGTGCATCAACCACATAAGGACTTTGACTCTTTCCTTGAATAAGAGAGATCTAGTGGAGGACTTGGAGCAGAAGAATGACATCTGACTTACTTTAACAGGAACACTCTGGCTACTGTGTTGGGTGTGGGATATTAGGAGGGCAACAGTAGAAGCAGAGCTAATTAGGACTTGGACGAGATGGTAGAGATACAAGTAGGGAAAAGTCAAAATATGGGTATATTGTGAAGCTAGAGATGAGAAGATTTGCTCGTAGACATATCTTACTCTTTTGGATTCTCAGTCAGTATTAGTTGGTTCCTAGACCTTGTATTTTTGAACATGTTTGCATCTGATTCTGATTCTTACCAGAAGTGAAGAACCACTGCCTTCCCCTCGTTTTCTTTATTCTCATTTCCCGCTCTTTTTTCTTTCTCCAAATTGCAGTGTAGTGTTGAGTTGTTTAAATTTTCACTGCTTTTAGTTGCCATTTCTACCATAGAACTTTCATTTCTCCAGAAATGTGAAAATACCTCCTGTTTTCTTGTTGTTATCTTACAGATTGGGAATCCAGAAAAGAAATTAAGAATTTATCTCTGGAGATGAACCAATATGAAATTAAATCATTGCAACAGAATTCAGCCAGAAAGCTTACACACTCCAACCCTGAGTGCATCAGGGTCAGTGGAAGTAAATGCCAGTTGGAAAAACAACAAGGGCATCAGGAGGGACAATTGAGAAAAGCCATAATTACCTCTAAAAACGGGCCCACTTCCACTCAGGGTACAGCCTATAGAGACCCTCACAGGATTAACACTGGAGAGAAATCCTGTGAAGGTAAGAGATCTAAGAAAGCTTTTGAGTCCCAGTCACATCCTATTCAACATGAAAGAATTCACAAGGAAAAAGATTCTGAATGTGGAGAATGTCAGAAAGTATTTAACAGTAGGTCAGACATGATTAAGCATCAGAAACTTCAAGAAAGCAAAAAAAAAAGAATGAAAATAAGAAACATTCCTCTGTTTACAACTCTGAAATTATTCAGGCTGAGAGCATTCAGTCTGGTGAGAAACCGCATAAGTGTAGGGAATGTGGGAAAGCCTTTCACTCTAGCTCCCACCTTAGTCAACATCAAAAGATGCACATAGGTGAGAAACCCTATAGATGTCAGGAGTGTGGGAAGGCCTTTCGATCAACTGCACAACTTAATCTTCATCAGAGAATTCATACTGAAGAAAAGTTCTTTGAATGTAAGGAATGTGGGAAAGCCTTTACCCGCCCCTCACACCTTTTTCGACATCAGAGAATCCATACTGGTGAGAAACCCCATCAATGTAAGGAATGTGGGAAAGCTTTTCGCTATGACACACAACTTAGCCTTCATCAGATAATTCATACTGGTGAGAGACGCTATGAATGTAAGGAGTGTGGGAAGGTATATAGTTGTGCCTCACAACTAAGTCTGCATCAAAGGGTTCATACTGGTGAGAAACCCCATAAATGTAAGGAATGTGGGAAAGGCTTTATCTCTGATTCACACCTCATTCGACATCAGCGTGTTCATACTGGAGAGAAACCCTATAAATGTAAGGAATGTGGGAAGGCCTTTCGTCGTAGCTCATAACTTACTCGACATCAGAGAGCTCATGCTGGTGAGAAACCTTATAAATGTAAGGGATGTGGAATGGCCTTTACTTGTAGCACAGAACTTGTTAGACATCAGAAAGTCCACACTGGTGAGAGACCCCATAAGTGTAAGGAATGTGGAAAAGCTTTTATTCGGAGATCTGAACTTACTCATCATGAGAGAAGCCATAGTGGTGAAAAACCATACAAATGTAAGGAATGTGGGAAGGCTTTTGGTCGTGGCTCAGAACTTAATCGACACCAGAAAATTCATACTGGTGAGAAACCCTATGAATGTAAAGAATGTGGGAAGGCCTTTATTCGTGGCTCACACCTTAGTCAACATCAAAGAACCCATTCAGGACACAAGAGAAAGCTTAGAATTTGATTGACATCAGGAAATTCATACTAATTAAGAAAAGATTACAAGGAATGTAGAAAAGTATTTGATGTTAACAATTTACTGAGTATCAGAATTTGTACTATGGATAATAGGGCCTTATTAAGGGCCAGAAATGGTCTAATACTAGTTACTACTGAGAAACCTTATAAATAGTAGAAATTGGGAGGGGTTTATTTATTTCAGATTTATTCCACTGGTTTTTGTTTTTTGTTTTTTTTTTTTGGTGGGGAGAATTGGTACAGGGGATCAAACTGAGGACGTTGTACTTGCCAGGCAGGTTCTTTGCTGCTGAGCTACATCTCCGGAGATGTATAAGTCTATTCTCAAAAAGTTTAAATACTCAAAAGAATTTGGACCCTTCAAAATCTAAAAATGATGAAAACAGGCAAAAATAGGTATTATACTACTGATATGACCATTTCAACACTTTCAGAGTTACACAAATGTTGAAATGTCTTTCATTTTCTGTTCCTACATACTTCTCTTTTTCAAGACTTGAGAATTATCTTGAGAGTTTATATGTCATTTTTTTTTACCAGAAACTAGAAGTATATACAAAAAAATTTTTTAAGAAAACCACATAAACACAAGTCTCTTAAGGGGAGATATCCAGAGCTTTCCATACTTTTCTCCATACTCAAGAAGCACACTCACATCTAGACTTGTTCTTGTACCACACAGAGGTGAAGGGCAGTCATTTGAGTGAGATGGTGCGTGCACTTATTAAAATGCAGCTCCCTTTCCTCATGTGGTAACATACCTTGGGAATTCTTCCCCATCGATATCTACAGATCCAACTGTTGGCTTTTTACATAAGAGTCAATATATACAGCCTATTCCACTAATGAAAGTTTTGTTATTTTATAAATCATTATACCTCACAGCCTTATTACACATGTACTGTACTGTTGACTGATGGTGCTTTTATTTCTGTAGTACAGCTGAAGTCCTAGCAATTAAATTCCTTGCCTTATCAATGTACTGTAAGTGTAATAGTTGGTGCCTTAAGTTTGAAACTTGCTGCCAATCTAAACAAGAATGTATGTTTATTTCCTGTTTCAACCAGCACTAAACTACTTTTAAGTTGCCAGGCATGGTGGCACATGCCTATAATCCCAGCACTCAGGAGGCTGAGGCAGGAGGATCACTGTGATTTTGAGACCAGCCTGGACTGCATAGTGAGTTCCAGGGCACTCTCAACTACATAGTGAGACCCTGTCTCAAAAAAAAAAACAAAACTTTTAAGTCGAGTAAAGAAACAAATGTGCCTTCAGTTTGCACTTTCTTAACTGCCAGTGAAATTGAGCATCTGCCATGCCTAAAGTTCATTTGAGTTTTGCATCTGTGAGGTGTTATTTGTCTGTTTCTTTTTTTAAAATTAGGCATTTTTAAAGCAGTTTGTAGAAAGTTACCTGCAATTATATTGCCATGTGCTTTGCAGTTTATTTTCTTAGTCTATCATGTATCCTTTGCCCCCTTTTTTAGATATTTCTGGGGATTAAATCCAGGGCCTTTGCCCTGAGCTACCTCCCCTGTACATCCTCAGCCCATTATTTTTATTTCGAGATAGAGTCTTGCTAAATCACCAGATTGTCCAGGCCGGGGTAGAGCTCTTTCCTCATGTGGTAACATACCTTGCAAATTCTTCCCCATCGATAACTACAGATCCAACTGTTGGCTTTTTACGTAATAGAGAAAAGCAATATATACAGCCTATTCCACTAATGAAATCCACCTGCCTCATCTTCAAAGTTCTGGGATTACAAGGATGCCCCACCATGCCTATATTTATAGCAAAAAGAATTAACAAGTATTTTCTGTGATTGACGAGATTATGTGTTTCAGGCTTTATGGCCGTACAGTGTCTACACTGCCTTTTAGTGCAAAAGCACACAATATATAAAGCAACTTCTCAACCACAGCATTGCTTCCATGGCCTACACTCCCAGTAGACATTTGGCAGTGAGGAAGAGATGTTGGTGGGTTGCAGCTGGCCCAGAGATCCTGATCTGTTCAGTATCCTAGGGTACTGTAGAGCTCCGCACAACAGAAGTATCTGGTCCAGCTCTAAAGTTGAGAAATCCTGATCTAAAAGCAGTGGATACAGCTCTATTCCAATAAATCTTTCATTACAAGCAGCTGGCTACATTTGGCCTGTAGGCTGTGGTTTGCTCACTTCTGTTTTAAATATCTTTTTTACTATATGCTACTTCTCTGGTTTTATTCCTGAATTGTCTCTTTTACCCAAATATTTTTCCAGATTTTCTTCTATTTTATACTTTTCATTTTCCTGACCTAAATAAAACAGTAGTATCTGTGTAATTACCACCTATTAATTAACCATGCTATTTTTCCTTTTTTTCAAAATAAGGATAAAGTTTGTTTTTAATATCCTATGTACTATTTTTTCCTTTTGACTAAAATTTTGTAAAAGAAATAAATGGTTTCAGAAAATAAAGTATTTTATTTTTCTTTCTGGAGTCCTCCACCCTGTGTCTGCAGAGGTAATAACTTGTTGCATTTCATGTCTAAAATCAGTACTTAGATGTACACATGGGCGATACATAGTATTGTGGGTTTCAGAGTAACACAAATAGTGATCCATTCTGTGATGTTTGAAAATGCAGAATTGCAAAGTATGATCTAATTATTTTAACTGCTGTTTTGCATTTTTATATCATTTATCAGTTGATATCCCTTTATTGGTAAAACAGAGAAAAATAATTGCAATAACCCATTCTATATATTTTAATCAATGAGGGGTTAGGAATTTTTTAAATTGAACAGTGCTCAGTAGGTCAATGCTTATAAACTGTACAAACTAGAGAAGTTAGTTGTCACGTGCCATTATTTCCGGGTTCTTCATGCCCTGCATGAATTCTGGATGTGAGTCCGCCGGTGACGGTGGTTCACGCCTGCGCAGAAGAGGCGCTTGGTTCGTCAGAATGACGCAGGCCGGCATTGATCAATAGAAATGGGCCACGTCACCCGAGAGGCTATAAAAGGCAGGCCCGCATCCGGCTCGGGGTCTTTCCGCCATTGAAGATTGTAGAAGAAACTCCAATAAAGCGTGCATCAGAAGAATCCTGAGTGTTGCGTGCTCCTTGCTGGCGAGGTGCGTGAGACAAGTGGTGCCGAAACCCGGGAAGCGACGGCCATCATCGCCGGCATCAGCGGAGACCCCTGACTTCAGGAGGATTCAGAACTGAGACGCAGGAGGGGAGGATCCACCAACTTTCCGAGAGGTACGCTGTCTGGTGTGGGCGGGTGTTTTAATTTGTTTACTCCAACAGGTTTAACTTTGTTGGTCGCCCACTTTCGTAGACAAGGGAGAAATGGGGAATTCTACTTCACAATCACTGGTTTATGCTTTACAAAGCCTGTTGAAGGAAAGGGAGTTAAAAATATTGGAGCAGGTTTTAAGGAGGTTTTTAAAGGAAGTGGATCGAGCGGCGCCCTGGTTCAGCGGTACCGGGTCACTCACGATCCCATCCTGGGAAAAATTAGGAAAAGACCTCCAGCGAG